ACGATTTTCACAATAATTCAGTTCAGTTTAGTCCATTTTTCACAAAACTATTGCACTTGCATCTCACCATTGCGACTCGGGTTTGATTCCCGGACTTGTGGACTCTCGTCCTGTAGTGATTCAATGGATTCTCTCCGTGGTATCCGTTTTTTCTTTACTCCCTCTATAAAAACTAACTTCTAAATTCCAATTCAATCATGGAACGATTGCCACAACTTTGTTAGTCACTAGCTATTAAGTGCTACTTCCTCAAAATAAAGACAAAATATAAATGTGTTCTCAAAAACGAATTTTGTGCAAACCAGGATCCYGTGCGTGTTACTTATAATAAATGAAATATCAGTCAAATGAATTGATCTCACCATGCAATTTATACAATTAACAATTATTTGCCGAAGGCGAAGATAACGAAACGATGGCCGCGAACGTCGTTAATCAACAAGTGAACCAGTTAAACCGGTTTTTTGCAGATAAACTGTAGTTCCCGGTCACATGGTACTTCTTCCCACTGATATGTCCCCCAGGCYCTCGCGGAAAAGCAATTAGTCTTTGGCTGAGAGACTGGTGCTATGTTCAGGTAGGTTTGCGGGGCTCCGATCCAAATTCTCGGGTCCAACAACGTTGCATCTGGTTTATTTTGAAAATGGGATAAAAGAGAATGAGAAGGATAACATACAGTAATGTCTACAGCGTTTATTAGGATTACCTGCCTGCCTGCCTGCCTGCCTGCCTACCCATGGGTCAATCGGTTACCTTGAAGGATGTTGGCCTCTTCATTTGTCAATGCTCGATCAAACACGAGGAGTTCTCGCAGCCATCCCTTCATGACACGATCAGAATCTCCCTTAAAACCAACATCGAACACAGAACGAGTAGGCACAGGAAAATCTAACTCTGATGTGTCTAAAGTTTTCTGATAGACCTTCAATCCATCTTGATAGCCCGTTACCTGTTTGGCCTCTCTGTTCCACACATTAACGATGTGGGTCCATTTGTTTAAAACGACTTTCCTTTTAAGAAAATATAAGGAGAGATACTAAGCAAAAAGAAGCGAGGGAATACAGATCTGAAGACACTGGCAAACAGGTACATTTTGTGGAAAGATAAGAATTGACCGGTGATGGTGAATGATGATGATGATGATGATGATATTTGTGACTAATGATGATGACAATGGTTTTCATGATGATTGGTGATAATGATTATGATGGTCATAATGACGATGACAATGATTATGAAAATGACAATGGTAACGATGATGATGGGGATGTTGATGATGATGGCATAGATAATGAGGTATACTAGAGGAATGATAGCATGCAATACTTCTATCTCRGTGTTTAACCTATAAACACCACCTTTATTCTACCTCGGTGTTTAAACCACAAACACCTTTATTCACCACGTATCCTAATCAAGTAGTGGTCCCGGTTACGGTAACAAGATCACAATATACTGACCCAAAATTCACGYGAATTATGAAATACTCAARGTTTTYGCTTACCCTCCAACGACTMCAAAGAGGTCGGCATTGTCATTTGATTTTCTTCTACCAGTTAACACTAGGGCGYCRTTAGTAAAGACGCCCATGTGAARGATGTATGGCTTRTRCCAATAGCTGTAGAAATRATACGAGTAACTGGGGAAACTATCCAGCTTCACCCATAATGAAATACTGAAGGTCATTGTACTGATGCCCCAGGCTGGTGTAGTTGCGTATGAGCCTGTAATGCCTGTAAAGTGCAGGGCAGCAGACTTATTGTAGTCGTCCTYCTTGGCAACAAGACTTCCAAGTAAACTGYCAAAGAATAGAAGGAAAAAGGGACTAGTTTATGACAAGCCTTCAAATTASCATCAAAGYCGAAGCAAGRCTATCTTACAGATCATATTTTGAATTAGCGTGTTAGGTCTTCTGTGGRATGGTAAACTCGAGAAGRAAAAACTTACCTCACRTCCGKGTCAGATCCATCTAGTTTCCAGTGCTTGTATGGTTTCATTGTGTCTTTGATGAGAAAMTCTACTCGCGAAAAAARAAAAACAACAAATTGAGATTCGTATTCTTTTTTTAACGTGTTTCTGACTCTTTTTTCTTCCTCCCTTTATGTTTTGGCGGGAAAACAGAGTTGGAGRATGACCCCTCACCTCTTTTAGACTCCTGCTCCCTGAGGTACAACTCGGYAACAAATTTGTTTTCATCGTCGCTGTTGATGGTGGCCAGACTTCCTCCGTTAGCTGAACATACTGCACTGGCTTCTGTATAGTTTTTCTTTAACTCAAAAAGCTTGAACGCAGATGAACCCAACTGGTACCAGTTGCCAGGCAACGCTAATGATGTAAGCAAAATAAAAACAACTCTTAGTCCACATTTGTTAAATTATGTTTCATTCAATGTAGGAATGTGTGGGAATCACCTCCATCACCTTAAAAACCACACAGTAAAAATGATCCTACACACGATATTTTCAAAATATATTTGGGAAAATAATCATGGCCAATAAGGGAGATGTAAACACACTCCCTTCACTTGCCCTGCAAATTCTAACATTTGACTTTTTTACCTTTTCTGGTTTTTCCTGCTTCGCACGACGCAGCTGAACAAGAACCTGTATTCTGAAATGCAACAACAACAACAAAATGTCACTCAGACGAAACCACTTCATAATCTCTCTGTATTTACTCACCRATAACTCGTTGTATTCACTTCCTTGTTTCCAGACAAGACAATCTGGATTTCCCAAAGAACTGGTCGTTCATTTAATCAGCTCACAGACGCTTGTTTCATTCTCATTTAGGTAAAAGTTGATGGAGAAACAGCTCAATTCTGATACGCATGATGTATGACAGTCAAGCACGTTGACAGCTGACAATGTTTTGTAAATGGAGCATCGCATCCTCTTACCMAGTTGACGAGAAAAACGGACGTTTGAACACATCTTAGCGTCAACAGGAAAGAAATGGAACCCACAGAAGAATAAAAGAACCCAAAACTGAGTCATTCTGAAACTGAAAGGAAAACAAGGTCAGCAGCTCGTAGACCCCTTGCAGCAGTAAAGTATGCAACTCAATTCGGAGGGGAAAGCATTAGGTTTCCATTCTCAGGACTGAGATAGTTGAAATTCTCTAGTTTTGTACTCCAAATTGAGCTCCTTCACCGTCATATTAAAGGGTCTATTTAGAGTATTTACTACGATATTTTAGTTGATCAAGTCAAAAAGCAGGCTGAAATTTTCGGACAGGCTACGCTTACCTTGGAATYAAGCATACAACAATTTAACAAAACTGTTTGAGTTTACATATAGACAGGTTTCTAGAATATCTTATCTATACAAAACTTAGATTAAACATTGATGATTTAATACCCCGATAACAAATGAATAATTAATGTTATAAACTATGTATGCAATCCTTGGACATAATGCGCAAAAACGCTAAAATAAGAAAACCGTTGCTTAACTTTTTAGTAGCTTGTAAGAGTACAATAACGACAACAGCATTTTTATTACCTTGAGATATACAATAAATGAATTACATCGAGTAGTTTAAGATGGAACCAAACTAATTCAGAGCGAATTTTGGACAATTTTATTCTCGCTCGCTTCGCAAAATCTAGTGCGTCAATTTATGATACTAATTATCGTTGTGAGCCTCAAATATGAGAGTTTTGCTAAAAACCACATTTTCGCCGTTTTCTTCAAAACGGCTGCAAGTCTTTCCTTCAATCTTCCTACATCAATAGACCAGAGCTTTATCTAGAATTTAGTGGAATTTCTCAGTACAGCTCTTCCTATCCAAATTTTGGAAAAATCGAAAAAGATATCAAAATGACACTTACTTGAAAAGTTTCTCGTACAAAACACTTCGGTGAGATGACTTCTGAATAACTGTCACCAGAAAATACAACGTAGCTRAAAAGAAAATAAACGTTGTCAAGGAAACTAAATACGATTTCTAAATACAATTTTCTAGAATCAAGAATACTGGTTCAAACTGGTTCAAAAACGCGAATACTTTAATACTTTCAAACAAAGTGTTTGAGCTCCATTATATGGCTTCAGATTCATTGCCGAAAAAAGAAAAAAAATTGGCAAAATCTTAGTTCAGTAGGATAAGGGAAGGATAATTACATATTAGTTTGCTGTAAGAGTTTTAACATTCACGAAGTCATTTTGAACTGAACGAAAAACATAAGGTCTTGGCAAATAGTGAAAACTCTCGATTCCCTTAACACAACTTAGTAGAAGTGTTTCTTCAATTAACCTACCTACCTCTTGATTAGAAAAATTTCTTGATAAAGGTAGTCGCAAATTGACAATAGTGAAGGGTTTGAACAAACACTATCTGTACTTTTCTGTAAGCAAACGATGGTTATTCATTCTCTTGAATATCACCTGGTTCGTATCCAAGGGAGCCCATCATGAATCTCAACCCAGGAGGGCCGCACTGTTTTTCTTGTTTATTAATATCTCTCTTTATGTTCACAATAGTGAACGGTTTGAACAAACATCTGTAAGTGAACCACGGTCGTTCATTCTCACCTGGGCCCGGTTGTACGAAGCCTGGATAGCGCTATCCAACGGATAAATCTTATCCAGTGAATAAATATATTGGATAACAGCATCGATTTATCCACTGGATAAGGATTTATCCGCTGGATAGCGCTATCACGATTTTTCTTTCTTTCTTTAAAGCTGTGCTCGAATTTTTTTGGTTTTTGTCCAACCCCCCCCCCCCCCCCCCAAGTTACAATAAGGAGAGTGGAAAACAGGGGGGGTGGTCCAGGAAAAACTTCATGCTCAAGAGGATAAAAATATTGTTAACAGAAATACTAGTAGGTGAATTTAGAGTCGTGTAATCTCTCCTGCCTCAAGAATAGAGAAGTTGAGGATAAGTTTTGAATTACTTGTTTGGCTTCGAGCCTTGATTTAATTTGAGGCTTTATTTATTAAGTCATTAATTTATTTACTTATCTATTTTTTTATTTATTTATTCATTCATTCATTTGTTTATTTATTTATTTATTTATTCATTCATTCATTCATTCATTTCTTTTTTATCATTTTTTACTGAGCAACTGTACCCGGAAATACGTCACTAGTGTTAAAACTCTGTGCGTCATTTTATTTGTCTGGGATCCCTGTGTAAAGCCTGGCGCCTCTAGAAAAAACACGTTCAAAACAAAAAGAAATTTTCTCCCGATTACCAATTTCTCATTTATTCATCGYCGTAAATTTAGATGTAATTTAAAGTCTACGGCTATTTCAAAGTATCTGTGGCAAGGCAGTGGATTCTTAGTACATGGGTTGTAAATCGTCCAGTCTGAGAGAAGACAGTGATGAATGTTCACACTGGAGCCGTTCTTCTTTTCCTCGTCTTTCTCTTCGTACTCACCGTCCATTGACCGTTTTAAACCGTCATAATCAAGTCTACGACGTCGTAATTCAGCTCAAACACGAAGATAAAGATATCTATGCCTGTTGTTTTCCCAGTGACGACGATGGGGTTTTACTCTCAGCGTCAAAGGTCGAACAAACGACTTTTTTAAGACACACTCGAGATTTCTCRTCCATAAGATTATGGGATTTGAACAGGCGACAGATAAACACGGGCTTTTTAGCTGATTTTCCCCGTTCTTGTCGCTCGTGTGATTTCTCCCCAGACGGTCAGTTAGTAGTATGTGTATTCAGCGAGGATTCTTTGGCTTTAGTTCGTATGAGGTCGTGGAAAACAACCAGTGCAGAAGTTATTCAGATGAGGAAAATATGGCGCACTAGAGGGACACTTCTCTGCTGTACTTTTTCTCCTGAAGGCAGATCAATAGTCGTTGTTTCGCGACTAACAGGAGAGACGAATCATGTCTGTATGATCGATGTGAATTCTAAAAAAATAACAAAAAAGATGAGTCCAACTTTATCGTCCAAAATACGCGGTTTTGTAAAGTCATGTATGTTCTCTCCAGATGGATTATTTCTATCTGTTTCTACGTCCAGTGGACAGCTGATTTTATTTGACATACAAGATTTACATATTCAAGGGAGTCTTGATTTGGACACAGAAGCTAGTACCTCTTGTCTTTGCGATCCTTTTCACCAATCCTCTAGGCGTTCAATAACCTTATCAATGCAATGTTGGTATCTATTTGACCCTCGATATGGCCATAAGTACATTGCTTCATGTATTGAGGATGGTACTATACAAACATGGTCTCTCAATTCTAATGATCAAGGGCTTACAAGAATTCAAAGCATTAATATGTTACAGACCCCATGGCAGAAGATTTGCTCTGCCGCATTCTCCCCTGATGGCAACATTCTAGCAGTTGGTACATCAGATTCTAAGATTTTAGCACTCAACTCTGAAAGCCTTGATCTCCTATTCACACTTAACGCTCATTTACAGCCTGATGGCCTTCGCACATGGTATCAAAATACTGAAGTATCATGTTTAGCATTCACACGGACATGTCAGCAACTTGCTGCTGGCTACAATGATGGCCGTATCAGAATTTGGCAGCTTCCGCCTCTCATAAGTCTTCAACACATGTGTAGACTTGTCATCATAAAATTCATTCCTGCAAACAAAATACCAAAACTTCCACTTCCAGCACACTTGTTGAGATATCTTCTATATTCTCCACTAAAACACCTCTGAAACTTAAGTTGGATGTGAATTCTTTAGAAGCTGATTACAACTTTATCTAGAATATCAGATCAATGATGGTCACGTTGTTGTGTATAAATTAATCAACGTACAAAATGCTTCCTGATATTTAACTATTTTACCAGGCTTTCCATTGGAGTGCTYGACGAGAGTCCATTTAGCCTACTTGGCCATATATATTAATATTTAGCTTCACAGGAATGCCAATTAATTAAAAGATAGAGAAAAGTTATCAATATAAATCAATTATTTAACTGCATTCATTGTAATATTTACTGATATTAGGTGAATGTGAATTTGACTGCATCAAATGTACATTCAAGAATATAATTTTATTGGTTCATATTATAGATCTTTTCTTCAAGTTCCAGTTTTTGCACTCATCAAAGGAAATGACATTACAGAACATACCTGTACACAAGAATTTCAGTTTAAAAAAGGTAATCATAGTCTTTTGATAAATCCTCCTCTTTGATATTCTTGTTCATCCAAGCATATTCCACTACATGATGAATTCAAAGATGTGAAAAACCTATGAACATATAGCTGCTATGTTTTGAAATTTCACATGAATTTTAAATATTTCACATGAATTTTAAACATTTGCAGTCAGTAGCAACCCTGAGGTCTGTCATTTAATTGGCAGATTAAATGGGAAAATTCCAAAATTACTATCCAGTGGCAGATCCAGGGGGGGTTCGAAGGGTTCCATGGAACCCCCCTTGAAGGTTTGATCTTTTAGGTAATAGAAATGTCTTATATAAATTTTGCTTAAAAGTATCCACAAGGATAATGTTGAACATGAAATGATAAATATTTGCTGTTATAATGTTTAATTTACCTTTAAGTTCYGTTACTAGATAGTAAATTAGGTGATTAGAGCCAATTTTTTTGTCAAACATCGACTAAACAAAAGAGAATTATACACAGTTTAAGAAACGGAACCCCCCTTTGAAAAATCCTGGATCCGCCACTGCTACCATGCAGAAAAATTTGGCTTCATGAAGAACATAACAAAGGGGAAGGGGGGACCACAGAACCTATGTAACCACCCCTGGATTTGCTACCGTGTTTTGATGCATTTTACAAGCTAGATCAAAGCTTGACAAATTAAAAGTTGATTCTTCCTACTTTAATATTCACATCCCCCAGGTGTACAGGGTAATGCAAGCTTGATTTAGCTATCTTTGAAAGCAGCTTATTTTAAAGCTATTAGAAAAAGTAAAGTATAAATTATTGTATAAATGGATGCAAAATTTTGCTCTAGATTTAATATGAAATATTTAAAGATTTTATAAAAATTATTCTATAAGAGTCAGGATGGATGTTAAAGTAAAGCTAAAAGCATCATTTTTAAAGAAATGAAGTTTATGTTAACACAATAAACTGAATCGAAATATGGCGACCAATTTGAATAACCAAATTTGGAAAGGTTTAGAAAAAATAACCAGTGGGTAACCTTAGGGGTAAGCAATGGTAATGCAATACTATCAAGTTAGGAGAAAGTAGAGTCATAAGATCATGATTAGTCATAAACTTTGTGTAATGATTGAAGAAAACATTGGAATAGAAAAATAAGCAATGATAGTGTTCAGTGTTTTGAAATCATGTGTCATTATCGGTATCAAAAATTAAGTCAAAGTGAAAGCTTACTTCAGTTTTCCATATTCCGCGAACTTGGTAGTTGCAAGCTGCATGCTGAAATTTGTTTTTTTGCTGCCCTCAATCAAAATTAATTAGTCAGTACCTTTAAGTTCTTGACTGGTGGCAGTGAAAAAAGCAATTTCACAACAAGAATTGAAATGCCTAAGTTAGCAGAATATAGAAAGTTTCAGTAAGTAATCAACCGATAATTATACATTACAAATAAATACAATATTGTAATTTATGCACATAATTATCAATTGACTATGCTTTTCACAGTGACTGATAATGAAATTGGAAAATGTTCAAATGTGGATCACTTATCTATCTATGTGTTCGGGTGATAAAAAAAGGCTTTTTTTCCTAGACACGTCACGTTGAATAATGAAATAATTTATATGAATTCATTTCATTTTATAACTTTGGGTATTGCAATTTTTGTAATGTTCACTTGAAATAAAGCTTATGGGAACTGAAGTGCAAGGAGTCTCTAAGTCATTGTCGTACATGACATCAGAAATGCATTGTGATTATTCAATATCTGTATATTTATGTTTTGTGAGGGACTAGGGTGTGCCTCATGGATGGTTGTAGGCCCTCCGGAAACTGTTATTGCATTTCCCAACTTACAAATAACTTTTATTAACATGGAATATTGTTAGTGTTTTTATTCAATTCTTACAGCAGCAGGAAAACAATTCTTTTAAATATATTATACTTCCTAATTTAATGCAAACTAAATGGATTCCTCTCCAATATCTAAGAAAATCTGAATTTGAGAATGTGCTGTTTCTGACATTGTCTCTTACAAAAATCAAAATCAAAAACAGAATTATGCAGATACACTAGATAAAGAGGAATAAAATCAAGCTTGTTTGCTTTTCATCAGCATGTTTGGAAAATACGGCAGTGAGAATTGCAAGTAGTTGAAGTACATAAAAAACAAGATGAAATGGGCACAAGAGTAGACAGATATAAGTACAGGATAAAGATCTGGATAACGTGCAGGAGGCTTGACAGTTGCTGCAGCAAGATGTAACCCCAAAGCTCCAAGGACTGACAGGTAAAACTATGGAAAAAAACAAATGAAAATGGAATTTTGTAAAGAAATTTGATGGCATAAAAAGTGTATATGTAAACCATTTAGAGGCCAACGACCACGTGATCGTGAGTAAAATAGGGTGAACGAGAGTAGTAAGTCAGTAGCGTTGGGTGACCATGAGTACAGTGTAGGATGAACGTCAGTAGTATTGGGCAAACGTGAGTGGTATAGGGTGACCACGAGTAGTAAAGGGTGGTCGTTAGTAGCTTAGAGTGGTCGTGAATAGTACCAGATGAACGTGATCTTACCATTCCTTTCGTTCTGCTGCGTGATTTACCAAGGTTCAAAACATGGTACGCAGCAAGGTAGAATAACAACATGGCTGGAACGTACGAAAACACCAAACCATCTTTCTCTAAAAGTGGCCACATACTGAAAGATAATTAATACGTTCTGTTAGGCTTATGAACAGATAGTAATAGTCCCCTTCACAGTTTCCTGCGCCATCTTGAAAGGTAGCCGTGCTTTTGCATCGAAGCGAGACGAAAGTGAGGACACACCTTGGGACAATTATTCGCATGTCTCTATCATTGCAAGCTCGCCGTTCGTCTCGCTTCGATGCAAAGGCACGGCTACCTTTCAAGATTGCGCAGGGAACTGTGAGGGGGACTATTGAGGACACACACACGTTAAACCAGAAATAAAACAAATCCAAGTCTTCTGATTTTTTTGGTATCATACGGTCCACCGGCCAAATGCAAATCCAACACCCATCTTGGAAACGTTCCCTCGATCCAATGCTACAGCAGTTTTAGTCTTATGACAGCGAAAAAGCACGTCGCACGGTCACGTTACAGCAATTACAACATCCTTTGAACCACAGCGCGTGAGATGAGTGCTTAACCAATCAAATTGCTTGGACGTCGTCAAAATTTCAGCGCAGCAGTTTATTAATTTGAATTTTTTGGCAGTCGCGGTACTGTTTACCTAAAAGTGGAGATGAGGAGGAACCAAGTGCAGGGCAAAGGCTTGAATGGCAGCAACACACAAACAGGTCTGAAAAATAATCAGTATTTTATGACACGTTAATAAAATACATTAATTACCCTTGTTTGCTTTCCAGGAGGCTTTAGGTAAACTTTCTGGCAAAGAATAGTCAGCATTGACAAGAAAACCTTTTGAAATTGAAAAAAACATTTTTTCAAATAAAAAAGAGAGAGAAAATATCCCCTATGCTTACAATGCAGCCAGCAGAATTGACTTTTCGTGAACTTGATAGGAAAACAAGAAGAATGCCAAGGAAGAGTTAACCTGTTGATTAAGATAAAAATAGGTTAAAAATGACTGTTCTGTTTTGGTTTTTTAGCTGCCGTTTTTTTTTTTTTTTTTTTTTTTTTTTTTTTTTTTTTTTTTTTTTTTTGCTTTGTTTGTTTGTTTTTCGTTTTGTTTTTTGTTTTGTTTTTATTTTATTTTATTTTATTTTTTTGCGCTACATCTGAGAAAACAATTTCCGTTGTGGGGAAGTTTTATGAACAAAGTAGCTTCATACAAGTTTATCGTATTTGTTTTATTCCATATCAATGTAAATCGCTTTAATTTGCAAAACATGTTTCGGCACTGTCTCCTGCCATTGCCAGTCCTTGTAACCTACGTAATCCTCAAAGTAGCTTTAGTCAACGCGCGCTGTTACTTGAACTACCTTCTTTTCCCATTTTCTTTTAAAGAGAACTAAACCAGCCTTGATGTTAGCCTACCAAGAACTTACCAGACTGATTACGAAGCGATCCACCGATGGGTGTCTAAACAGGTTGAGCGACGATGGAAGAACGGAAATAAGAGTGCTCCATAAACTATAAAACAGTTAAAAATGGTATGCTATGACTACCTTTCCTTTAAATGCTTATCGTAACCTTTAATGGAAAACGAGAAACGCAACGACTTACAACACGTACACGGTACGACATACCGTAACATTAATTCCTCCAATAATAACATGCAGTTAGAGCTACGRTAATATACGGTATGGCTACGATTTTGTCGCATGATAACATATATTTGACAAACATCACTCCCCATACGGGGCTCTTCCGCGAGGTTCGCTCCACACGCACTACCACTACATACTACAGTATTTACTACAGTATTATTTTTTTTACAATATATACAACACTCAACTCACATGTTGATTTTTACGGAGGGATGGAACCCGGAGAAAAACTCTCGTAGCAACGGAGAGAACAACACATCAAACAAACTCATCTTAACATATGATCCAGTCTGAGCCGGGGCTCGAGCTAGAACCACAGTGGTGAGAGGCGAGCAGTAAGCCACTACGCCACTCATGCCACCCAGCTCTAAGGTATGTCGCGCAGTGCAGTTCCGTGATTATCACTGTGGAGATGGCGTCTTCAAGTAAACATACCACTCACCTTAGTTTTATAATTTGTTGTTGAGTCAGGATGTTTTTCACCTTAATAACAACTGAAACTGCGCACCAAACGTTCGCTACTTTGTCCTGAAGAAAAAAGAAGCAAAAATATTTCATAACTTAAGGAAAGCTGGTGATGCTAACCTCACCACGCACTACTACCCACCTCAAACAGGCCCCGTCCAAATGGAAAGAGGCGATGAACCACTTGGAATAAGTCCTCAGGGTTCGATAGGAAAGGAAACCAGCTATGAATGAAGAAAGTGAGATTAACACATCCAGTGAATCAGTGACAAAAGCAAAACATAATCTTACCAGATCACAAAGGTTCCAATGACTGCAACACCAAGTTTTGACAAGTAAAAAAGTCTACCAAACCTAAAGGAAGAGAAAAGTCCAATAATAATATTGTTGTTGTTAAGGTAAAATTTTGAATCTCAAACGAAAATTGCTTTTGTTTTGAACGCCTTTAGCTTAAGTCYGGTCATACATGATTTTCGTTTTAGGAGGGGATGCACCCTATGCTTACAAACTGAAGCACCAATAATGCAGAAGATATTAGCTCATCTAGGGGGGGAGGGTGAAGTATATTGCCTCAGGCATTACCAGTGCCTTCTCTTTTTAGTACACTACCTCACCAAGCATGCTAGATTTATATTTATGTAGATTTCAACTATTTTGATACTTTCATCTGGACATTTATCATTCAAAACGATAAGCTCAATGTATCAGTAACTGTTATTAATCCATTCACTCTGGCAGTCAAGCCATCAGTTGATCATCCAACTTAGGCAAGTTTCTTAAAACACTTTCAAAATATAATAATATAAAGCCTAGTAGGGTTGAGCCATTTTGGCTGTAATAAACTTACCATGAATTAATAGTAAATGTCTTTCCAAGAAGATAGAAGAAAAATGGCATTGAATGATAGAGTTCCATCTGTTTGTAGCTTAAAGCCAACATAAAAGCCACAGACCCTAACATGTCATACTCCATACATAATCCTATAACACCCCACAGACAGAAGCCTAAACTAACAGCATTATATCTTGAAAATGTTAAGGAATATACTCCTTGAAAAATCTATTCACTGTATGTTCTGAGTGTCTTTCTTTGGTCTCCCTTGATTTTCTCTGGTTTTCCTTCCTCTGCAAAATTACCTAACTCTCTAAATTCCAATTTAATTTGTGAATTAGTCATGCCCTGACTTTGATCATCAGCCAACAGTCTGTTTTAGGATGTTGATAAAATATTAAAGATTTGAGCAAATATCCTGATATGTTATACACAGAACTGATGCACTGAATAAAGCATTGGGCAATGGCAACCCTGACATTTCTAATCTGTTTAAGGAAGGTCCTCCCATGCAGGTGTATAGTTAGCTCACCAAAATACCCAAGCATTACCCTATGAAAGGTTGAAAACCTAAAAATTTACGTACAGGTAAAGGATACTGAAAATGGCCATGGTCTATTAATGTTAGACCAGGGTACAACAGCATAACAGCAGCAATAAGAACCTACAAAATGGACAACCAATTCTGTTATAATTTATTCTAAACTACGAGTCAAACCAACGAGCTTTTGAACCTTCGTTTAGTACACTACATGATGATGGCATTTCATTAGCACAAGAAGGCAAGCCAAAACATCAGAATAAAAAACAATGGATCCTAAAAATACAGTACCTTGTGGGGTCTGGATTTTCCAGGAATACACAACAGACAGAATAAAAGTACAGCTGGAAAATAGACTAGGATGTCTGCACCTAAAGCTGAAAAAAAACATGAAAAATTCTATGTAAATTCTAAAGCTTGAAGACAAATCAAGAGTTATTTCAGGGTTCAATCTTTGAGTCAGGTATGCCCTGACTTTGATGACTCCAGAGGTCATTTCATGGTTTTATCGGTGAGTTTGCCATTCCCTGATTGTAAAATGGAAAAACCAAACAGAGTGCACATGTACATGTAATTGATACCTGTGTAGCGCATAAAGAGTTTGTGTTCACGGCTTTCATAACCATGTGAATCATTCAGTCGTATCCAGCTTGGATCAATCTTGTGTGCCAGCCAGCCACATAACCAGCTATGATATGCAGTCAGAGGAGGATAATCAAGACCCCAGTATAGAAGATTATTGTCACTTGTGTTATAATACCTTGAAAACATTTCAAAATGACAATTAATTTTATAACAATATGATGAGCAAAGGATCAGACCTTTGGGGATTACGTTGAGCAGTTGCGAAGATGATGCTCACCATTGATTTATTGGTAGATTGTAAGTTATTTCTTGCCAGTGCCGCTGTGCTTCATAGTCACCAAACATTGGAGGCTTTCCCTTGCCTATAAACAACAACAAGAACATTCAGAAGATATCCTGAGGCACTTCCAAGCTCAAAAATAACAAGGACAAAGACAATGTTAACATATCAGCTGTTTCTGGATCAGACAAACTCTTAATAACATATCGGTTGCTCCTATTTATTTTTTAAGTCATACCTAGGGAGGGATTAGGGGGTGGGGCAAATTACGTAAAGTATAACGAAGTCAGTATGATGAAAAAAAGTAAGGCAAAAATTGAGGGAGGGAGGGGAGGGGAATTAAATGTTGCTATATTTATAATCTCCAAAAGGAAGTACGAAGATGTATACCCTGCGATGAATAAATAAATTTTTCATGTGCTCACAGTCAAGGGATATTTTAACCAAAATTTCTACTATTCTATCTACATGTATCTATAGTTCGGAAAATTTTGAATGAAGAAAGCTTGAGAAGAACTCGTCACAAACCTACCCGAATAAGGCCCAAGAGAGACGCTCCATCGTAACACCACCGCTCCTAATACACAAAGCAATACCGAATAGAAAGTTTCGGCCATTGATGATAGCAATCAGACCTAAAATACCTGTCAAAAATAACAAATTTATGTCTCTTCAGACAAAGGCTCCTAAACAGCCGCCATCTTGATAAAATACTAGTGTCCAGTCCCTCACACGACCGGAAGCTGAAAACGAAACCTTTCAGTAAAAATAATTATAACGGGTTTATTTTTGTTTCGTTATTTGAAGAACTACTTATTAAAGTCTGATATTGAGAATCTTGGGGATGATTTTTGATCTCGCTTTTAAATCTGTTATAAAAATCAGACAGATTTGGAAAGGGACTCCAAACGACTAGACCCAGTCCATACCAGCCTTGCCGTCGAAACGAAGCGCCCATATTCCAAGATGGCGGACCATTTATGAAAAGGTTTCCAAATTGGATCAAAAAACCGTGTTTAAACACAGCGTATGGTTAGAAAACTATTAAGGTAGGTCAAATAGGGTTTACATTCACTGTTAGAGTGCATTTATTAAGTGAATGTTTGTTTTTGCTTGATATATTATTGTAGTTTTGAGTGTAGTTAGATTTTCGTTCGAGACAGTTTGTTTGGGAATTTTCGTAGTATAACGACCAAACCACTTGTGTTTATAGTTTACCTTTAATTCACCATTACTTTAACTACCTTGTTTTGTCTATTTAAAATAATACAGTCCTTTGATACGATACCTAGCGCTAATTCCACGTATCGTAATTTTTGGTTTCACAAAGTCGTTTTTGTTTTGGCGCTAATGTAGTCACACAAAACCTAACGTAGAAAAAATCGCTTAAAAGTTATCAGAAAAACTTTCAAATATAACCAATTCGATATCTTTTGCTTTAAAGCTACACAACGTACTCTCAAAGCATTGTCATTTGCGCAGACAATCAAATTCTTGGAAGTAATCTCAAAAGATATTTCAAAACATTAAATATAATCGACTTACTAGAAATGATATGCATAAATTATTCATTAACGTTGTTGTAGCAGTGGTATCATTAAGACAAGATTATAATAACGGGCTTTAAGATTCTTCTTTCAGCTAATAACTCTTCAATTATTTGTTTCAAAATGGTACACCTTAATCAATAATTTCAAATATAATTTTTTTAACCTTCCTGAAATCTATAAAACCTAGTAATATTTAGTGTACTTTGTATAGTATTTGTACTTTATTTGAATATTACATTGTGATAAGTATAYATTTTTCTTTATGTAAACTGTTTGCTTAGTTCTTCTTACGACTTAAGCATGAAACTGTTGTTGCTTTTAGAATAAATATGATATTCTGGGAAATTTCAGTAATGAACACAAATGGGAAGAAAAGTGTTTTTGACTTTTTAAACATTATTGTTATGAAGCCATAGAATAATACAGCTTCGCAAATTCAATGATATGAAAATATTTCTTGCTTCAGAGGCATGTTGGTTTTTTTTTCTTTTTTTTAGTTTAGAGTGTATTTCCATAGACTGAAATAGTTAGTGTACAAATACAGGTTAGGAGATCTTATTTCCATTGTTTTCTTTGGTACAGTTATCGTAGATTGATAAGTCTTACACCGTAGTGAAAATAGGAACTGACGTTTCGGACGTTAGTCCTTCGTCGGAGTCAATAGAAAGTAAGAGTGAGAGAGATGTTTATATAGTAGAGGAGAGAGAAAACAAACCAATAAGAAAAAAGCAAGCCATAAAACAAAGGAAAACAAAACATCTCTCTCACTCTTACTTTCTATTGACTCCGATGAAGGACTAACATCCGAAACATCAGTTCCTATTTTCACTACGGTGTAAAACTTATCAATCTATGATAACTGTTTCATTAGAAACACCGACACAGTCCACGCTAGTGTTTACTAGCCATCATCTACATATTGTTTTCTTTGGTGTCTATTTGACTTTTATACGCTACTACTAGAAACTGTTATTTCAGACATTTTTTAAACAAGCTTTTTATTCCATCGTTTTGATCCTCTAGATATTATATAGATATTACAAGAATGGGGAGTGCATATGAAGGGATATTTACTGTGCTGGATGAGTTAGGGATACCTGACTTAAAACAAGTGATTGTTCAACATTGTATACAGGTAAGGAACCTTTAAGCTTATTTTCACAGTCATATACAAGAGTTATTACTCTACTTTCCCAGATTCTCTTACTTTTACCATGCCATTCAATTTTAATTATTAGTACCTTAATTACAATTGTAATTTAGAAATATAAGAATAAACAGATTTAAGGGTACAAGCTGACTTAGTTCAGCCCAGAGGTTGTTTCAGGGTTCAATCTGTGAGTAATTAGCCCTGAACTGATTAGATAAGCCAAGAGGTTGTTTCAGGGTTTGATCTGTGAATGAGTTAGCTGTGCCCTGACTTAGATCAGCCCAGAGGTTGTTTCAGGGTATCAATAACATGTTTGCGGGTGTAATAATTGAACTTCTATTCACAGGACAGAACATTACAATATATGGAGACAGAAGATGAGCTAAAAAACCTTTTAAGGGTAAGTACATTGATATTTTTTATTGATGTTTTCCTAATGGATGATTGAGTTAATTATTTTTACTCCCAAGCGTTTCCAGAATTTTATCTTAAAGCTGTTTCACCATTGTATTTATGGTCATGATTAGTGATAGAGTATAAACACTAAAAGCATGCAATACTTTACACTATTTAGCATTTATTTAAAAAATTAAATTTATTACTTATCATTTTATTGGTTTATGTGAATTCTGGAACTTGAGTTACTGTATTCTATCAATAGAGTTATAATGCTCTCCAAACTTTCCTTTGACCTTTGCCACAAGCGTAGTGACCATTTTTATCAGTGCAACAACTTAATGTAGAAGTTGAGATGTTTCATGTTAACTTTTTAGGAAATAAATATACCTCTTGGGCAGTGCATTCCTATTATAAAGTTATGGATTAAATGGTGCTCAAGAATTAATGGCCCTGAAGTTACTCAGGGTGGTGATAAAATAGGTTTACAGTATAAGGTGACCATGGTGCAACAAGCAATACAAGCAACTGTACCTACCGTCGATGCCATCACACAAACATATGAAGAGCAAAATGCTTACTCACAACACCCTGGTGTAATAGGAAGTGGCTACAACCACCCCCAGGGGAATAACTATGGTCAGTACTCTTTAGTAGATCAGATGAACAGCCTAGGATTGACAAACCATATAGCCCCGGCTGGAAATCAACATATCCATAATGGTGATGCAGATATAAGGCCAAGCTTCATGCCGCAACAGACCCCAGCACCACCCCCACAGGTATTTGAGCCTCAATTGTGGACCAATAATTTATATAATTATCAACCTGCTAATGAAGACCTTGGAAGAAGTGGTTGGCTTGGAGTGTTATATCAGGGAGGTCCAATAATCACCTCAGGAAGCCGAGAGGTCAGTCCTATCCAGTCTCCTTCTTTAAATGATATGATAGGCATGGAGCAGAGTAATGATACCAGGCCTAGTAATCATAGAATTAATAGCTTTGATAGACATAATGATGTACTGGATGAGAGGGAAGATCTGGCGATAGAGAGGTCATTGGTGGCAGAGGAAAAGCAACAGTCTTATGCAGCTGCTCTTAAGGAAAAGCAAATTGCTTCTGGTGAGTATGTTATCAGTCGTTTGCTAAAAATATATATCAGATATTTTATAAAGGCATTCCAGTATGTTTGCCAAATTACTTGATTATAGATGCTTGAAATGGTGTTGTTTTTGCTGTGGTTGTTTATGGTGGTGATGATAGTGATGATGATGATGATGACGATGATGATGAAGATGCTATTGCTGTTACTGTTGTCATTGTTTGCTACTGCTTTATCTGATCCTGTTTTTTGCTGTTGTCATTTGTAAGCTGATAAAGATGATGACAATGCTGCTGTTGTTGTTATTGCCACTGTTATTGTTGCTATGTCATTCTCCTGTTGCTGTTATAATTTTCATGCTGTCATTGATGACATGCATTGCTACTGCTATTGGCATTTCTTTTTAATGCTGCATTTTCTTTTTTTTTTTTTTTTTTTTTTTTTTTTTTTTTTTTTTTTTTTTTTTTTTGATTATGATGATAATGGAATTTTTCTGATAGCTTTATGTTTCTTGGGTTAGGACCAGAAATATTTTTTTAGTTCTTGTCAAAAAAAAGCTTAATGTTTTAAACTCTTAACTTTATTCCAGCTAAAGCAGCAGATAATAAAGAAATCAGACCTCRTTCAAGCAGCATGTCCCACCCCTCTCCTCCCCCTTTATCTAGCCCTCCAGCGTCATTCACTAGTCCACCTCCTTATATCAAGTCCATGTCTTCGCACACCCCAGTAATACGTCCCAAAGACACAGCCAGTACCTTCTCTAAATGTGACGAGATCTCTGTAGAAAATGCCACCAGTGGAGTCGTGGGAAATAATCTTAAAGATATTGGTACAGCAAGTCTTAGGTCCTATCTAGAGAAGCTTATGGCTAGTCAAGAATATATAGAGGCCACATCAAAACCTAAATCTGAATTACCCAAGGGTTGGTTACCAATAGATGGCAAGCATATCTTGTCAGCTCGTAAAATCCAGTTTAAGCCTATGTTTATTGATGATAAAGGGCGCATGCGACATGGGGTGTCAGTGCGAGGTGCTGATAAGTCTGAAGAGTGCTCAAGGCATACTGTGGGAAAGGCTCCTGCGTATTGTACATTTGCGCACTCCCGGATAGGCGATACCCTACAATTTATATGTATCAAATGCTCCTGCGAGAAGTCAAGGTATACGTATTGTCAGGATAAGAAGGATCACAGGGAATATATTTTTAATCTAGGTCCTTATAAGAATATAAATGGTGAGCCCTGGAAGCTCACCACATAAGTCATATTATTCACCCCAGATATCTGTCTGTCTGTCTGTCTGTCGCGATCCTAACGACATAGTATTATATTTTAAATGCTTGAGTAGATTTTATCAATGAATATGGGGCCAATATAAGCCAATCACTAGTGAAGATTACTAGTTCTCATGACTTAATGAATACTATTATTGTTACTTAGTTAGCATACTAAAGTATATAACCTACATATGTAACATGTGTGGTCCACCCTGTCAGACCCCCACTCCCGTCCACCCAAAGCTAGTTGCTACTCATTACCACCCTCAAAATGTTATACTAAGGTTTATTAACAAAAAGGAATTAGAAGCAAACTAAAGAAAAACTTATTAAGAAACACTTTAAATAGAATCTCATAGCGCACTTTATATTTGACTTCACGAATCACGCTGAGAACTGGGTTCCAATAACTTAATAATAACGTGACAACAGTGCTATTTTATACGTTAACGAAATGGTTATTTCTTGAATTAAGGTGATTAGGTGGAATGAATTGTTTAAGTTGTCATGGTGACCAGTTCGTGGCGTTGTTTCGAGATCTTCGTCAAGTCAGGCAGTCCTTTCTTTGTAGGACTTTGCCTATCAGTTTATTCTAGGTATTCGTTATTTTATTACACTTTTTAGCTAGCTAGCCACTTGAAAAGCATTTTATGTGGATCTACTTCACTGGGAAAGTCATTTGAGCCCACAGTCCTTGATGCCACTTGAATTACGACTGGGCAGCCACAGGTATCCCAGTAATGACGTCATTGTTGGGTCTGTCTGCACTATTTGCTTTGATCACTAAATTTACCTAACACAATACCTCACTTCCTGTGATTAGTCCTAATAAGGCTGCGTACAACCGRAAACAGCCTCATTATAATATGTCACTGACCTATAAGAATGTGGGCTCAACTATCTATTTCCCCAAACCAAATCGAGGCTCGGTGATGTGTGTATTTAGTTTATTTACTTATTGACTTGGAAGTCAAAAATTCCTGTATCTATTTTATTTTGTCCTTGATTTCATAGATAGGTATCTGAAGCTCTCATGCTTTGCTTATTTGTAATGAGTAATAAGGTCAGCAATAATTTGTCAAATAATGAGTTACCATAACACGTGATGTTACGACACGCAGTACCGTAGGTAGCTGTCTCCAGTATAAAATATATGACAAAAAACGAATTTCTGCATAATCATGTCATTGTCGTTAATTTGTACTGGACCAGCAGCTTGTACTCTGAGTATGCGCATTGCGACTTATGCAACGTTTTTTACAATCTCGTACCCAGAGCCTTTATTTYTTACTGCGCATGCTCGACGAGCATGCGCAGTAAAAAATAAGGGCTACAAGATCGCGTTTTTTACAGGTAGCACAAGCTACTTTTTCCGTTATAACATCTTGATAGAGAGAGGAAAATTCCTTAAATTCGCTTCAAATTTGATCGATACCYTGAAACAAACTCTGGGCTGATCAATGTCAGGGCACACATGACTCAAGGGTTGAATTGGAAATTAGCATGTTAGGTTTTGTCTAGGGAGGAAAACTGGAGAACCCGGGAAAAAACTTCGAATCAAGGGAGAGACCTAACAAGCTTTACTCAAGTGATGCTGAAACCCGAGTACACAGAGGCTAGGGGCGAGTGCACTATTTCTACACCACTCTTGTTTCACTGTAAAAAATGGTTTAATTAATCGTCAATCTAACTTCACGGACGGAGCGAGAGCTTGGGAAGCGTTTATAATTCAGGGGGGGGGCAGCCATTTTCCCCGGTAACAATTAGAGGGGGACTGCCCAAAATATTTGCTTTTTTTGATATTTTATGATGCTGTCTACTGAAAGTCCGTAGTTTGGGGGATGGGTCTCTGAAAAGTGTGATATGCTTGAGTGTGGAGCCACCCAAAAAATATTATTTCAAAGTATAAGTCCTTCCACCCCCCTCCATCGATGGTTTCGATTTCAAAAACGCAATAAGGCAACTCTTGAATGGTTACGTTTTATTWTTTTGATTTTGTTGCTAAAAGCTGGCGAACATTTTCCTTTTTCCAATCAAGCCTGAAACTACATACATAATCACGAACCTTGGTAGAAAAGGCCCCAGCTATGACGGTCAATTCAAGTATTTTGTCGTAAATCTAAGGGAAGAAAAGCTATCTAATTTTTATTTGTTCAGAATTTGAAGGCGGTTCATTGGACAACGTTGGCTTCGGTTACTTTAGCAGCTGCTATAGTCAAACTCCGACCCGGACACATCGCTACAATCGTCCCGCCATGCAGCCCTACAAACGATTTAGAGAGCATTAAATGTTATTTTAGTCTTATACCCAACCTTTAGCTCACAAAGTCATGGTTTATTCAGTGTTGCGAAGTTTTTTGTATCGCGATCCCTTGTTCAGGTTTTCTGTTCTGGCAGCAGTCAATGAGGGGGCTGAGCTTATGCAAACTATGATAATAATATTACTATCAGATTTTCAATGTAATGGTTATTAACTATGAATTTGTATGCTCACACTTTCACAAATTGTGGGGCAAACGGGAAAAAGCAAATATTATAATTAAAGCTTAAAAAGCAAGGAGTCGCGTGATATCGTAGGTGTTGCAATAATAATTTCACGTACCATTCTCTGAAACCTTTGCAGTTTTTGATCCTTACAGCACATTCGGCATCGTCCGAGATGTCAGAATTGAGAAGATCTGAAACAAAAGCACATGCATGGCAAATCTTCTTCAATAGTGAATCAAAAAACACACGTCAACTAGATATATCCTTCAAAACGGGTTTCAATCAAGTCTAAGGTAAATATATTTTTAACTGAGGGACGCAAAGTGATAGCGTAATTAATTTAGATTTATCGTTTGGCTGTTAAAAATAAAAATTTACATACAAGGCTTACGCGACAGCTAATGCATTTTTACAGCGATGATCTCCGCGTTTGCTGTGATTGGTAAACGAATGTCATCAATCATTCTGTGTCGTGATGACTCTTCATAGTCAGGTAAAAGTCGGATCCAATAAGTGCTTTACAATTTCTTCCCACTGACACATGCGCAACGACGTTGAATTTAATTTCACGAGCGGCTTTTTACGGCTGCAGGGGTCTCTTAGAGTACTTACTGCTGCATGAGACGTGGCAGCCATAGGTATTTAATCTCCAGCAGATACTGGATGTTGTTCCATGGGGACGATCACACCAGTATCCGTTACTGAGTTGAAAGATCCCGTAATCTTTGGAACCGTTGTCGTTCTGTTCATTCGTGATATCATAACGGAAGCTACTCTCGTTTTCTACCAAACACAACCCTGAAGAGAAAAGAATGATTTTTTTTTTTTCGGTTTCGGTGTGAAAGTTGCGGATTCAAATTTATCCGGCATAGTGTGGGCGGGGACTCGGTCAGTGCTCCAAAAGCAAGAACCGACAGATACTTACAGTCCCTCAGATCACCATCCGGAACGCCTTGGGCGCGCAAAGCACTAACAACTTCACATTTAGTCTTCCTTGCAGCTTCTGATCCCACGACAGTCAACAGAACAATTGCAAAAAGCTTAATTGGAAGTAGGTTTATTTTGAGTCGATCTCTTAAAACATCAATTCCGGAAAAATAAAAATTGCACAATCTTATAAATACCTATGTCAGTGTTTAAAAAAATATTTCGCTGAGAAAGAATAAGGTTTCTATAAAACGCATTTCAAAACTCAATGCTTTTTACGAAAACTCAGTATTACATATAGTATAAATACGAAAAATATAGAGTATTGTAGAAAAAGATGGAACACCATTAAGCATTTGAAAAGATTTCGTCTCTTAATTTCGACGAGAATGAATATGTAAGGTTGGGACAAGTGTTTTTTAGTTGTTAGTCGCGGGTAGTGTTMCAGATTTTGGGTCTGGACTAACAGCTACAGCAAAAGCTTTATCACCAAACAGGGCCGTAATCACAAATTTCTGATTGGTTCGGTTTTCGAGGGCTTTCGGTTTTTCTTATATTTTATATTTCATTTTTCTTATATTTTTTTCCCCGAAAGTTGGTTCGGTTGAAACTGGACCAACCGTACCGGTGGCTACGGCCCTGCCAAAGGTAACTGAACGAGATGCAGGAACAAGCTACAAAGTATTTTCTTTCAAAACATTTCGAGACATGAAAAATATCTTACCTTTTCGTTTTCAGAAGATCACACTGAAGCAGTTGTAAGTCGTATTAATATGATATGTGACTATATCGGTCTAGTTATATACCTTACCTTACCTTACCTTACCTTACGGAAAACATTCCTGCATGTGGCTTCAGCTGCTTGGATGTTGAGTGTTCGGGAAAAACATGCTTGTTTGTGCCAAGCTATAGATAGATCCTAGATAGCAACGTAGCCATATATTTTAGAGATACTAGTTGTGAAGGGGGGGAGGGGGGGGGGAGAACTTTGGTGTAAAAGAATTGAATCGCATCGGTGTAACGTTAGCGATTTGGGATCTTTTAGAAAATTATCTAAATTGGATTTTCTCCTTTAGGGTGTCGAAGTATAAAATGTGTAAACCTAGCCCTTTTAAAAGATTCTGAAGATTATATCTTTAACATATAACTTTCCGCAGAGTTTTCATGTCTTATAAGTTTTCCGACATCCTGATGTTCTTNTAAAGTAAAATACAGGAAAACTATGAAAACGTGGTCACGTTTGCCGTTTGCGGGGAGAAAAAAAAGTCAATCTAAAACTATTATACCAATGCTGATGTATAATCGACTACGGTCTCGCTATCGGGAGTTTTTGGAATCTTTTAGATGATTATTAATAAGATTTTTCTTCCTTTAGGGTATCGAAGTATAAAATGTGTCAACCTAGCCCATTTAAAAGATTCTAAACATAGTATCTTTGATATAGTTTTCAGTACTTCTAATGTCTTAAGTTTTCCAACACGCTTCGCCGATGTTCTTATAGGCAGTAGTCGCCCCCCCTCCCCCTCCCCCCCGGCTTTCATGACTTAATCAAAGGTCTTCAGAACTTACGTGTCCAATCAAAACATGCACTTGAAAATATTTTCAAAAGCTCTCAATAATAGCAAACTTGCTATAAGTTTAATAGACGAGACGACGCAATTCAATCGGTACTTCTCACGCGTTTCATTTGTTTCGAGAGATTCGACTTTTTTTTCAAGTCAAATCATTAGTCTTTTTTCTTGTTCAAATAAAACGGTATGAAGTACCAATTGAATAGCGTCGTCTCGTTTATCTTGGACATGAAAATATTCTAAAAACAATCTGCTTGAAACCAAGCATCACCAGTTAGTTTATTTCTTTGAAATTGGCTTTGAAAACACTTTTCCAAGACCAAAATATCCCCAACCTTATTTTGGAGAAAATTAGCTCTAAYAATCTGTAGTTTCAAGAATCTGAGATGAGGATCGAGCTCTCTTGCGTTATTTCAATATATGTGAGTTTTGAATTCTGGGGACTGACTTTCCAGATCTATCTGTTGCCAGATGAAATTTTGCCAAATTGAACATATTACTGATCAGACGTTTCGTTCAACGCAGCCATGTGCCAAAAGATAGACTTGGACTTGCCATTAAAAAACAGCAAAAAAAAAAAAAAAGAGCACCTTCTCGTCGTAGTCAAACAAGCGATTTCTCATCAACCACTGAGCCATTTTAGCATCATTATAAAGGAAAGCTCTTCGTGGTAAAAAGAGGAACTTTAATTAAACTATTGGCACATTTTGAGCATCAGCATTTTTTATAAGATAATTTGCATATACCAAAGTTCACATTGTTTAAGGCGCGATTACACCCAGCAATTTTCTCTTTAGCTTGTGTCGCGGTAACGGTGTTGCGTCCCTTTTCGGCAGCGTGGCAGCGGCTTGCAAGATCCGCGCATGTGCATAAAAGTGGGTGGCTTTTTATCCAGGCCCTTGTCGTTCAATATCAACCAACATGGCGGATACGAAAAACCAGAAACTAATGGGTATTTTTGGTATTATTTCAAAACCATAATATTGCTTTTCGGCACGTTTCTTCCTCGTAGTAAAAACTTTTCAGTTCATTTAATATTTTTGGTTTAAAGTTTCATTGAATTATTTTTTTCTAACGCCACTGAAGTTTTCTAAACATAGCAAAGACAGCTTTTCTAATGTCTCCTCTTCTCCAGCAGTAAATAACGGGATTAAAGCTACTGCTTACCAACTGTATTGACATGGTTAGAAAGAAGGCGTTGAACAAAGAAAAACTTGGCTTCCTCTGAGCCGCGAACACTTGAAAAACAATAGTAGTCAGCAGATAGCAGAGGATTGAAATGCCAATCACATATCCCATTGTTATGGCAAGTTTAGTTTGTGAAATAGTGTTGGCGCTTACTGTTGAGACAGCTGCTTGTTGAGAGTGTATTTGACGATGGTGTCGACGCACAAGGAAGAATATTTCGATATACGAAGTTCCAATCAATAAAGAAGAGATTACCCAGCCTAATACAAATGCTATTTGATCTGCAATTACTAAATATCGATCCCGGGCGCCCAGTATGTAGGAAAAGGCGATTGTCATCCGTAAACTCCAAATGATAACTACAGCAATGAATGCTCTCGTATTGGTCACCAGTGTTTTGTATCTAAGATGTAGAAATAAAGCTACATACCTCTCGCAGCTAACAGCACCCATTAATGTTACTGATATTGACGTGGTTATAATTGCAAGGAATGTTACACTATCTTGGTAATTATAATCCAAGAACAAGGCTTTGTTAGTAACAAAACCAATACACATTGGCTGTACTACAGTTCCCACCAAAAAGTCAGCCAAGGCGAGTGCAGCGATGAGAATATTACCAGGAGTGTGAAGCGAAGGAGTCGTGATAATAGCCATCAGTACAAGAGCATTACCAAGCGCAGAAAGTAGCGAAGAAAGACAGTTGATGGTCGCTAGAACTTTACTGATGTAAGAGAAACTATCTGAGTCGTAAAAGATGGGATTCATCTGTTCAGGATACCACAATATACTTGCTTTCTTTCCTTCGCTCATCTTCGCCACTCGAGTATTGAGGTTAATTCATTAACATTAGTGAATACAGAGTTGTCGTTAGCGGGAAGGCGCTTGAAGAGCAACTCACAATATCACGAGACCTAAGTAGTATTGAACAAACCAGCTGCTTGTTCAGGCCAACGGAAGTACGTGCAGCTATTTAAACTAAAACTGAGACATAAAATCACATTTGGCAAATTGAATATAGAAAATGCATGGCTTCTTAAAGTCGATCTGAAATCACTGCAACCTGATTCAATAGCAAAAAGTGGTGAAGAAAGACAGTTGATACATCTTTACTAGAATAAGAGAACTGTCCGTTCTCGAGAGTGTCTTCACATCGATATTAGGTAAGACTGGAAGTGCATGTTTTTTTAAAAGTTGAGTCCATTATATTTTAACTTCACTTAGTTTGAATCTGGGATAACGTCGATTGCAAGCTGCAGTGCAAGTTGATGATAATGATGATAATGATGATGATTATGATGATGATAGTATTATTTATAATACGCAAATTTTATAATCCACAATATAAGAGAGGTTATATTGTTTTAGCATCCCCAGCAAGTGTGGAAAGACATGCCGGGGAAGCATACCTCATTTTGCATACGTCGTCGGAATGATTGATGCTACTCCTGGATATACATCTTTTACCTATTTTCAATTTTTAATGCGCCTACAGCATTTTTTTGGATAGAGGCGCAATCAAATAGATATTTTTATTATTATTACCCCTATTAAATAGGCCACAAGGTGATCTGCAGAGAAGGTACTACCGCCATGACTGAGGCTTACACTTCAATAATTGGCAGGTTATTATTGATACGGGTATTGTTTTTTTTACGTGTGGTCAGGCARGGTTCTTTGGACGTACCTTTAACTGATTCAGGGAGCTTTGGAATGTTGCCCCGCGCGCATAGGTCACATAACCGTGTTCTCAATATTTCGAGGAACACGTTCATACTTGTGAACAGTGGGCATCCCATTTTCAAGGCGCGATGGAAGGCAGCTAATTAGAGAGTTTTAAATTTACGTTCACGGCAAACGTGAAACGTCAGTTGACCAGTAAAAAATTCTTTTAAATTACTGAAAAAGAATCGCAAAAAAGTCCAAGTAGTAGAAAAACAAAAGAGTATTTGTGCTTGGTGAGAAGGTTTGTAAAAGGTAAAGTAAAATACAGGAAAACTATGAAAACGTGGTCACGTTTGCCGTTTGCGGGGAGAAAAAAAAGTCAATCTAAAACTATTATACCAATGCTGATGTATAATCGACTACGGTCTCGCTATCGGGAGTTTTTGGAATCTTTTAGATGATTATTAATAAGATTTTTCTTCCTTTAGGGTATCGAAGTATAAAATGTGTCAACCTAGCCCATTTAAAAGATTCTAAACATAGTATCTTTGATATAGTTTTCAGTACTTCTAATGTCTTAAGTTTTCCAACACGCTTCGCCGATGTTCTTATAGGCAGTAGTCGCCCCCCCTCCCCCTCCCCCCCGGCTTTCATGACTTAATCAAAGGTCTTCAGAACTTACGTGTCCAATCAAAACATGCACTTGAAAATATTTTCAAAAGCTCTCAATAATAGCAAACTTGCTATAAGTTTAATAGACGAGACGACGCTATTCAATCGGTATTTCACACGCGTTTCATTTGTGTTTTGAGAGATTCAACTCTCTTTGTCAGCAATCCTGAATAAAAGCACTGATATATATTTACAATCGTTGTGAATGGGAAAAGTCAAATCATTATTAGTCTTTTTTCTTCCTTTCATTCGCAACGATTGTACATATATATAGATCAGTCGGCTTGTACTAATGCTGACGAAGAAAGTCGAATCTCTCGAAACATGTTCAAATAAAACGGTGTGAAGTACCAATTGAATAGCGTCGTCTCGTTTATCTTAAACATGAAAATCTATATTCTAAAAACAATCTGCAAACATGAAAATATTCTAAAAACAATCTGCAAACATGAAAATATTCTAAAAACAATCTGCTTGAAACCAAGCACCACCATTTAGTTATATTGCTATGAAATTGGCTTTGAAAATACAAAGACCAAACTATCCTTAACCTTATTTTGGAGAAGATTAGCTCAAATAAGCTGTAGTTTTAATATAATATGAGATGAGAATCGATCTCTTGCGTTATTTCAATATCTGTGAGCTTTGAAGTTCTCTAAATCTGCATGTGATGTTGATGGCGTTGTTCATGATGTTCTCAGTGGATTAGGATTTGTTGCATGTTCCATGTCATGCCCGAACTGCCCTATGGGCAATGTGATTGATGTCACCAAAAGGTCATGACAACATGAAATTTTCCTTTTAACTTTGTCTGCACGTTTTTCGGCATGATTTCTTCTGTGCTTATATTATTTACAAATGTATATCAAACAATTCAAACTTAGCGAGCAACATGCAACAAGCAACATTCGGCATGCACTGAACATGCAACACAACATTACTCTGCCTGACCAGCCTTTTTTGACGGATATATATAGCTTCTTCATATGTTGAATATGTTTTTAAGTTCCGCTCTAGCTGACACGTTCCATAGTTATCACTTCATATGATCTAGACCTCTTAACCTTGCCTTGAGGTCGAAACTTAAAAAAACGTTTTTGCTGAGACATCGATACACACGTCCTTAACTCGCTGGAACGGCTTGTTTTTTTTAATGTTAAGAGAGCTATAAATACGAGTCCTTCAAGTCGGCTTGTTCAAATCATTTTCAACGAAGAGGGATCACAAGAAGAATTTCCACTGAGCAAATTAAGAAAAGGTTTGTAGCTTTCTTCTATAAAAATATTTACTTGTCATATTTAGTTCTGCTTTTGACGAAGAAGATTATGTCCTAAAAAGACTTTTCACCAAAGAGCCGACCGATCGAGCTGAGAGACGTTTTGCTTTATGCCACAAAGAAATTATAAAATGACAATCATGGACATGATTAACTTTTGATATTTTTTTTTTAATAGATTTTTGTGCCGAAGATGAATCGTTTGTTTGTGGTTGTGGTTTTTGTTATTGCTTTGGCAATGTTTGCCGCTCTTCCAAGTGAAGGTACGGTGCCGGCGGTTTTCCTTGCTTTCTCGATTCTTTCCTTCATATAACTTCTTTGATTGCTTCATTTTCTTGCTTGCTTTTTTTTCCTTGCTTGCATGTTGCTTGCTTGCTTGCTTGCTTGCTCTCTTTCTCGCTTACTTGCTTGCTTGCTTGCTT